TCAATCTGAGCGGGTCGATCTTCGACTGCTTGAGCTTTGCTTACACTGTGTGTAACGCTTACACACGTCCTAAAATCCTTAGTTAAAGCTAGACCCAGGCTGCAGGCTACAGCTGCTCATGATCAGATCAGAATCACGAAATACTGTTGATTGATCCCGGGGGGAAATATGTTTCCATTACAGTTGTTCGCAACTCACGCAACGCTTAAACCAGAAGATACCGGTACTTCACTATAGCCACTCATCTAAACCACAAATACTATGAGTGGTGATGAATGTACATGACGGTATACTCACATACCTAGTCAAATAGAAATCTACACTACAAAACAAAAAAACAAAATTCCCCGCAGATAGTACTAAGATCACATACCAAAAGCCTATACTACAAATACAGATAAATAATTATAATAGTCCTGTTTTTCACTTAGAATTCGAAATCGTTTCTTCTCAAAATACAGATGACAGTGGAAACCAGTTGTTTTCTATTTTTTAAGCCGTAGAAAACGAGCTTGACGAACACAAACCAATCCACGATTTATAAATACACAGGTTGTACGTGTGCTGGATGTATGTATCCGATTCTCACGGAACACCTCAGGAGCGCGACATCCAATCAATCATTGAGCGGACCGGACGTTGGGGAGCACATCTGTAACGCCTACGCACTTCGTTAAGCAGGATTGTTGTTTTTTTTTTCCTTCCTTTGAAACGATCATTCTAGCATTTTCCTTAATACTGGTTTCACAGCTTTTATTTGTTTTACCCCCAACAATAAGTTTAATGTTTACTATTCCTGTAAGACAAAGAAGAGTTCAACTCTGTTCGCCGCCGGTAAGTCTCTCTTCTCCTCTCACACACACACACACACAGACATCACGTATCAAACTCAGAGTAACCGTTACGACCTTGTATCTCGCACACACAGATCCAATCCTGTGCAGTGAAAATGTTCTCGCGCACCGCTTTGCTACGTTATACAGCAACTGACCACAACTGACGTATAATGCTGTCCCCACCTGCGTTCTGATGGAGCAGCAATACCTGTTTGTCTTTGGTGAATAATTTGGCCTTTAAGCATTACAATGCAGCTACTGTTATGGCTTCCGTGCATATTGTTCGGTCTTCCTGCTAACAGGGTGGGTCTCCATGTTTAATTTATTCTTGTGCACAGAGATAGTCCCTCGAAGATTCAGACCGAAGACCCAAACACAGCATCCTACGAAACATCTAGCCGACACAGACTGACCGTGTCCACTCCAGAGGTCCCTGAACCCCTTCCTGAGAGAGCCTGCTGCGCTTGGGCGCTCGTTCCTCGGGCGCCCATCCTTCCAACTCATGCTGCATCCTGCCTGTCGCATCTCTCGCCCACATCCAAGGCCGGAAATGAACCAATAACGGGTGGACCGCCAAGCGAGTAGGTCGACGTGTCGACCAGTGTGTCCGACCCCCCCGGCCCCTTCTTGTAAAAATGCCTGTTCCCGTCGCCCTTGTCGTAACGTGTTTACCATCCCAGACAGTTTGGGACTTCATGGCGTAAGGTCGGTCTGTTGTAGAGTTCAGGAATCATGACTTTACGTTCGTTCCAGCGACGGCCGGAAAAATCCAGTCTCTGGTCTCCAACGCGATGCGGGATTAAAACAATAACATCAATACGACAGACATCTCATTCGCCCCACAACGCGAGCAGTTAATACCAGTGTAAGACTTGTCTTCTACACATACGTGTGCAGTTAGTGCGTGTTTGTTCATGGTGTTACTTCTGCACTAGGTTCAAGATCCGTATAGATCAGTATGAAGAGGGTGTTTAGTGTCACCATCGATGGACCTGAGCCTCTCCTCATGTGGAGCCAGCTTTACCAAGGCTATCCAGTGCAGTTTTTTCTATTTTTGGCAAACGGCACCACCCACACACACACACAAACAAACATGGCTCAGAGTCGGAAGTGACTCAGCTTTTTCAAAAACACACATATGCCTATTTTCCTGAATGAACTTCCTTTGCTAAAGCTCTGCGCTTGTTGTACTCTGATCTGACCTGTGACGTTACATTCCACCCTGCTGATGATGGTTGAGAAAAAAGGCGGGAGCATCCCTTAACCAAGAAGTAGGTCTTGGAGCTAAAACGCTTTTAAGGAAATTTAAACCAGTTCTCGGTACTATTACTGTGAGTTGTGCTGCTGTGTGTGTGCGCATCATGTGTGCAACCTCTACTCAGACAACAAAGTAAAAAATAAAAAGAAACATGTAAGAAACAAACAAAAACAACAACTCTGTAGCTTTGTCTTCTTCGATGCATCAGGTTTTAGTGTGCATACTGTGACTGCACATGTGACAGAAGGTGAGCAGGGAGGCCTGTGCTAAGTGAGGACGATGAGGGGTTGGCGGGATTCGGGAAGAAGAGGGGGCAGAGAATTAAAGTTCAGTCCATTACGAGAGAGGGAGGTGTGAGGGGCGGAGGGGGGGAGGGGTCTGGTCAGGGGCAGGGTCTGGTCAGGGGCAGGTGACATCACGGGGGAGACGAGGTCAGGAGTCCTCCGTGCCCGAGTCATCCTCGTCGTAGCAACAGTCCTCGTTGTCGTCCTCGTCGTCGTCCTCCAGTTCCTCGTCGTCGTAGTAGTCATCGTATAAGAGGTTGGAGCCGTCGTCTGTGGGCGGGACTTGGGTGCGGACGCAGTACTCGTCCAAGGTGACGGGAACCTTGACGCCGTCCCGCTCCGCGTCAGCTTTGGTAGCCAGCACCTGCTTCCTGTGGGGTTGGAAAGAGTTGAAGATAAGAGGAAAGTCAGATGAGGCCATACAGAGCGTCAGTGCTGGTACTCGGTGTACCTGCTACACTGACAAACTCCCACTGGCAGTGTGAAGAGTGCTCTATGTGCTCCGTGCGTTCTGGGTGTACCTGATGATCTCGATGTATTCTCTGTCCTTGCCCTTGCTGTCCCTCCACTTGCGGTACATGACGGATGCGTCCACGTTGGCCGGGGAGAAGGTGTTGGGCTCGTTCAGCAGAGAGATCACGCTGAGCAGGATGGTCCTGAGAGAGGGAACGGAGACGTCAACGGGAGTGGAGGGAGATTAAAATACAGGAAAGCAATACAGGAGGAGGACGGGGAAAGAGGAACGGCGGGGTGGGGAAGGGAAGATGGAGGTAAGACGAGACAAGAGACATTGAGAGAGCAGAACAAAGAAAAGAAAGAAAGGAGGACACAAAGAGGGAAAGCGGGGGAGGGTAAAAGAAGAAGGTTAGCATCAGACAGCCAGCCTGCTCAAGCCAAGAACATCCATTTGTCTCCACTGTCATCTGTTGATTTTAGCTCTCAGCTACACAAGATACTAATAGACAATGATGTTATTTATACTTTATTTTGACTGGAGGTCAATCAACTAGTTAGACTGACTAAAACGTTCACACTTGTGATCTCCTCTCTCCTTGAGACAGAATGTGCGACTGTTTGTGTTGTTGTGATCATCAGCTCAAAAGGAGCCAATTACTGTGGGCACGGTTATAAGCAGCTGTGAGAGTTTGTGGCCGTACACACAATGCATAACAGAAAAAGTTAAGGAGAGAAGGAGAATGGGAAAGCAGCAGGATTGAATAGATAAATCTGTGTCTTGTAATTATATGAAAAAGGGGGTATGAATTATACATAATGTTTGGATGTTTGCTTCATTTATGCAGCAGTAAGTTGGTTGGTAGTTGAGAGAAGAACTCAAACAGCTGCTCGTGAACAGGAGAGCCAATACTATATATACTTTATAAACGGAGACGGATAAACAAATGGGGTGAAAAACTTTGGGACTTTTGCGTGTGACTGGCAGGTTTGTCAATTATAACCAACACATCAGTGATTTTAAAAAAGCAATGATCTGGAGGTTTGTTTCTCTTTAAAAGCTTTGATTTCACTGTTGAGGTCTGTAGTCAATCGAGTCACTCTACACAGTTATAACCGCTGACACTGTCAGATATATTAATACACAGTGATAACTCTGTCCAACCAGAAACGAAGGAAACTACAGAGAGCTTAAAGTCTTTGCGTGTTGACTGTCGTACCGCAGCAAAGCTGACGAGAAGGCAGAAACAAATCAATCAATCTAAGCAGGAAGGAAATCAATCTTGAAATTTATGGTCAGGTTGGGCAAATGGCAAACTTCCAGCCATTTGTAAGAAATGAGCTACAAGCTGCATAAACACTTGCATGTTATGTTTAGCCTTTAGCCTGTATTAACGGGTGGACACAGAGGGGGAAATGTGGACAGCAGAAAGCTGGAAATGAGCACTGATGAAGAGTGATACCTGCACAGACTCCCAACCACAAATGCATCTGAAACATTTCATTTCAGCTTGTTTGACGGCTGATTAAAATAATCAAATCTAAAAAGGAGAAAACAGTAACCCTGCTTATTCTTTTGGAGTTCCTTAAAACAATAACCTTGGGTGGAACTGAGAACATTATGTCGGGTACCTGACGTTCTGCGTGGGGTTCCACCTCTCTGAGGGCAACTCCCCGCTCTGTGGGTCGTCCACTGGTGGGTGCAGGATAGAGATGCATACGTCTCCGTTCTAGGGACACAAGAGTGTCACACAAAAGACGTTCAAACAATAGTTTATTGATTACCAGTTAGTTACAGTTACATTATAGTTAAACCTCCATCTTACTCATATAATATATAACTTATAGGAGCTACTGTATGTTTGGAACTGGTCGAGTTACCTCATAAATGTTGGGGTGCCACATTTTGGTGAGGAAGCGGAAAGCAGGTGGAGAGTACGGGTAGTCGACTGGGAACTTGATCCGAGCCTGAGGGCGAGAGAAGACACATATTAGTAATGTGAGAGGCAGGCAGCTCATTGACACTCGTCCCTTGCCAACGGACAAGTTGTGACTACTTCCCTTCAAACTTTTACTGTTTGGGAGAATCCTCTCCATCGATTAGGTCTAAAAGTAAAGGGTGATTCCTTCAGCCACAGTAAGGGCGCTGCATGTAACTGTAGTGTAGTTTGCTTATAGATAATCTACCCCACACGTACACACCAGGGCTAACTGAATCAAGAATTTGAGTCCGTACAACGCCGCGACACACACTCTGAATGGTTTTCTAAACTAAGACCAATGTTTGCAGCGCTGGTGTCAACAAGCGCTGAAGTTGCTGAATGAAAATCTCCAAAATCACGCTCATCAGCTTCAACACTGATTGAACGAAGACCTATAAAACAGCAGCTGTAGAGTCATGGCAAACCCTACGGAGGTGGATGAGCGTGGGGAGCGAATGACAGCGTAATGTAATATGATGTGGAGGGGGGGGAGGGGGGGGAGGGAAGCTTGCAGTGGATTCAGCTGCCGAGTGTGTATGGAGCTCAGAGTAACACCGGTGGGTGAGGGGAGCTGGTGGCTTAAAGACATTGTGGGGGTTTGTCCTCTCCAGCTGCCACTGCAACCCAAGACAATCCACTACTCACACCCGCGGTCGGCTATTATATGTCCACACGCTGGAACCACACACACACACACACA